TCGAACTTTTTGTACCATTGCCTTGGAGCTTGTTTCAGGCCATACAAGCCATCGAACTTTTTGTACCATTGCCTTGGAGCTTGTTTCAGGCCATACAAGCTCTTCTTCAATCTGCACACCATCTTCTCTTTGCCCTTCTGAGTAAACCCCTCTGGCTGCTGCATATATATCTCTTCCTCTAGGTCACCGTGGAGGAAAGCTGTCTTTACATCTAACTGCTCGAGATATAGATCTTCAGCTGTAATAATACTCAGGACTGTTCTGATTGTAGTCAGTTTGACTACATGAGAGAAGATCTCTGTGTAATCAACTCCTTCTCTCTACTAAAATCCTTTAACCACCAATCTAGCATTGTATCTCTTAGAACCATCATGTTCCTCCTTGATTCTGTACACCCATTTGTTGCTCAAGGCCTTCTTCCCCGCTGGTAGCTTCGTAAGTTCCCATGTTTTGTTGGTGTTCAAGGATTTTATTTCATCTTTCATAGCAAGCTCCCACTTGCTCGCATCATCCACTAGAAGTGCCTCATCATAATTTTCTGGCTCTCTACCGTCACTCAGTAGTAGGTAGTTCAAATAAGCTCTGGGCTATAGAGATGGATACTTCGGATTAGGCTTGGGGACTCTTGCTGACCGCCTCAACTCTCTAGTGGGCGAAACAAGCTCTCCATCTTCATTCACCCCCTCTGAGGTAGTCTCATCCATCAACTCTTCTTCTGCTTCTTCTTCATCAGAACTGGCTTCGGGATTGCCTCCATCTGAGACATCATCTGACTCGAAGTATGTGGGCTCAGACTGCACCGAACTAGTGGGCTGAACGACATCACGATCTTTGTAGAGAACTGTTTCATTAAAGACCGCATCCCTGCTTCTGATGATTTTCTTGTTCTGCTCATCCCAGAACTTGTAGCCAAACTCATCACTGCCATAGCCAATAAAGAAACATTTCAATGATTTAGGATCAAGTTTGTTTCTTGCATGATCACTCAGATGAACATATAAAACACATCCAAATACTCTCAGGTGAGAAAGGTTTACCTGCTTTCCACTCCATACTTCTTCAGGTAATTTGTGCTCTAAAGGCACTGATGGTCCTCGGTTGATCAAGTAGGCAACTGAGTTGACTACTTCTGCCTAGAATTGCATTGGAAGTCCTGCTTGTAAACGCATGCTTCTGGCTCTCTCAGTCAACGTTCTGTTCATCCGTTCTGCTATGCCATTTGCTGTGGAGTACCTGGCACTGTCCTCTCCAATTTGATGCCACTGTCATAACAGAACCTCTTGAACTCTGAATCTTCATACTCGCCTCCATTGTCTGATCGAAGCTTCTTGATCTTCAAACTAGTTTCGTTCTCTACCATAGCCTTCTACCTCTTGAAGACTTCAAACACTTCTGATTTGTGTTTCAAGAAATAGATCCAAGTCTTCCTCGAGTGATCATCTATGAAGGTCACAAAATATAACCTTCCACCAATGGATTGTACCGATGCTGGACTCCACACATCTGTGTGAACTAGCTCAAGCTTCTCTTCTTTAGGAGTTCTGCCAACCCTTTTGAACCTTATTCTCTTTTGTTTCCCAAGAATACAGCTTTCACATAAGTCAATGTCAGTCAACCTCAAACCTGGTAACTTCCCACTCGACTGCATAACCTTCAGGCCTTTGCTACTCATATGACCAAGCCTCTGGTGCCACAAATTTGGGTCTTCTTTACTTTCAGCCACTACAATGGAACCACGTGCATCTATCGTCATGTAGAGGGACCCAGTTTTCGTACCACGGGCAACAACCATGGACCCCTTTGTAACCTTTCACGTATCACATGCGAAGGTTGATACATATCCCTCTTTTGCCAATTGTCCTATGGAAATTAGATTCTTCCTCAAACTAGGAACATGTCTCACATCACTCAGCTTCCATGTAGACCCTTTGAGTTTGATCTGCACGACTCCTATGCCAATAATATCACAGGACTGATCATCACCAAGATAGACTTTTCCTAGGTTTCCTGAAACATAGTTCTCAAATAAATCTCTATTTGAGGTAGCATGAAACGAAGCTCCTGAATCTAGCACCCACGACTCACTCTTGCTCTCCAACGAGCAGATTAGGGCATCATCTGATTCTCCTAAGGCCACGTTCGCTTCAGTCTTGTTCTCCTTGTCCTTCTTGGGTTCTCGGCACTGATTCTCATAGTGGCCAAACTTGCCACAGTTCCAGCAGTCAATCTCCTTCTTGCTCTTGCGATTTCTGTACTTTGACCTTCCGTTCCTCGAATTAGGTCTTCCTCGGCTATTCCCTCTATTTCTTATTCTGTTTCTACCTCTGCTCTCAAAATTCAACGCCGACCCTGAATTAGAAATTCCTTCCTCTTGTCTTCTAATCTCCTCAGTCATAATCATGTCCACCACCTTTGAAAACTTCAGTTTTGATTTGCCACATGATCCGCTAATTGAAATAACGGTACCCTTCCAACTGTCGGGTAATTGACCAAGTATCAAGAGGGCTTGGATTTCATCATCAAATTGAATATTGACCGAGTTTAATTGATCCGTGATCTCATTGAACTCGTTCAGGTGTTCCTTGAATTTCTAGCTCTCGGACATCTCAAATTAAACAACTTTTTAATGAGATGTACCTTATTCGCCACAGAGGGCTGCTCATACATACTGGACAACGCCGCCATGCGATCCGCCGTCGTATTCTGATTCTTGATGTTGAATGCTACTGATTTAGACAAGATCAACATGATTGCTCCAAGGGCCTTTCGATCCAATAGCCTGGCTTCTCTCCTAATGGTAGGTATAAATCCTTCTGATAGAGGTAATCTTCCATCTGCATCTTCCAGAACCCGAAGTTTGTTCCATCAAACTTCTCAATCTTGGATGTTTCCTTCTCAGATCCCATGTCTCTGACCTGAAATCGCCCGTGCCGAACCTGGTCGCTCTGATACCACTTGTTGGGGATGCACAACCCCCCTGATGCGATTTGGAAATAGAGATTTAGGAGAGAGAGAGAAAATAATCACAATCACAAACATACAAGATTTACGTGGTTCGCTTCTCAATGTGAGAAACTACGTCCACGGCCGCCGCAGGAGAAAATTTCACTATTTTTTATCTTAATTACATCATGCCCTAATCAACCCTTTTATAGATATAAGGGTATTACAAACAGGAATAGAAAACGGATCAAAAAACCAAACTGGGCCAAAACCCGATTCGCGGTCGACCGCCGCGCCACGCGCGGTCGACCGCTGCTCGAAGAATCCAGAAAAAGTCTCTGGACTTTTGGTGGTCGACCGCCCGGCGCCACTTCGGCGGGTCGACCTGCGACAATGACTTGGAAATATGGGACCGCCGCGCCATGCGCGGTCGACCGCGACGAGCTCCTGGCCAAAGTGTCTGCCTGTGCATGTTTGCGGTCGACCGCCGCGCCATGCGCGGTCGACCGCGATCCAGTCAAAATACATACTTCGTCGTTTTGCTTGAACTTCGTCGTCGTCGATCCTGTTTCTCCTGTTTCTTCTTCAATCTGAAGTAAAGAAGGAGTCTGATAGTTAGACTTCACATATCCTAACAACAAATCCATGGAGGAGTTAATTTAATTGCTTGGCCTCCACTTGAAATTAGTCGTCCAGAGTTGTTGTCTTTCAGCGTTCAGACCAATTAAAATATCTATGTTTGACTTTTCTTTCTCTCTTTGCATATATAGGATAAGGCCAATCTGACGAATAACATGCGATAAGTTAACTTCTATAATGTATATGAAGGTAATTAAACTGAGAATCTTTTTTGAGACAAATAATATATAAAAATCGTATAATATGGAATGGAGCCAACCAAACCTACCTAACGTCTGTTTGCAACACTCCCAATTCACGAAATTCCCTTTCCATTGAGAGATATCAAAATTTGTGTTAACTTTTGGTTGTTGTTAGCATTAACATTAGAGTCATTTTTTTATTAGGAAATGAATCAAATTGATATCAAAACTGACCGATAAGCCCTCAATCACAGCAAGTCTTTAGGTAAGTTTTTTTACTTTCTACTTTCAATAATCCCGGTCTTATTTGTAGTATACATACTATATATGTTTTCTATTTAAACAGAGGATTTTAAATACTAGAGTCGTTGCTACTTTTTGTGGATTCAAAATTTTTTTTATTGATTTGAAGACTATATATTCTTCGAAGATTCATAGAACACATCATATTGGACTTCGTGATTCATCTCCCACCCTGCACCATAATAACTTACAATAAATTAGTTATTAGCAACCAATTTCAAATAAAGAGACGTTGTGTTTGATTTCCCTAAATAAATGGTGCATCCACGAGGATAATATATGAATTTGGATCCTTTTCACTACGAAAAGTGTACGAGCTGGAGAGATCACTGTATTCATTATACCCCCTATGATTTGCACTTATTTCCTAAATTACACACAAAGTCAAGCTAACCATCCATTAAAAAAGTTAACGATTATAAAATAGCAATGATCTCTTCACTATTCTTAAGTAGTACTTAAAATTTTATTACTTTGAAAAGGTCTGAGTTCAAAAGCTAAGGATAAGCCACCGGGTCGACAGCGTTCTTGGACTATCGTTATCCTTTTGGAATATAGAAGTAAAAAAAAAATGAATATCATGTTAGAGAGTACAGAGCGATTTGTCCATTTTGCTTGCCTTGGTTGGTATTCTCTGTTTAAATTAAGAGGAAGGGTCAAGCTTACGAAACAAAGGGCCGGCCACGGAGTACAAAAGGCTTAGCATATACTACTAATTTCACGACTTCACCTAGCAACTTGCCCACCAACTACCAAGTCGAAATTGACACACACTTTAAACAATAATAAAAACCTTCTTTTTTTTACTCCTAATTTATGTGTTTTCAAACTTCCTCATCGTGATAGCATTAAAAAAAGAGGAAATGAAAAAGGGAAAAAAAATTTGTTCCTCCTCATGAATAAACAAGAATATTTTTGACTCGACCCCTTCAATTTTGAATTTCACAAATCATGGTTTGGAAGAAGTTTCCAGATCTAGGTGGAGCACCGTTGATTCCAACCGGGTGGCCTGTTTCCCAAGCGGTGAGTAGTGCGTAGGCGGAGCTCTTGAAATCTATAAATACATTATACACACCCCCAAGCAATTCATCATATTATCATATCCTCTGAAGGAAGAAGTTAATTACCCTTCAAACACTTAATATCAAGAGATGGCTGCGGTCGCCAAAGAGCTACCAAAGGTGTACACTGAGGCAAGTATATATATATATATATATTATTTTGCTACTTATCTACGTATGAATCCTTCATTTGCTGAAGAGAATTATATATCTTCTCAAATTATGAACCGTACGCGCAGAACACATGGATGGAGGAGAGGAACGGCGATAGGGGCCTGCTTAAATACCCGAGACAGCTCGACATTACTAATGTTGATGACGGTAAATCCTGGGTCTGGCACTCCCTGGTCTTGGGAAGGCAAGTATATGTTTCTGAATTCATATATATGCATGTATACATACATATGTTATTCATTATAATTTAGATGGTATCAATTAATTTAATTTTCATGCATGATAAATCGTACAGCATCGGTAGATTGGGGATGGAGGCACCGAAACTGATGGGGACGACGCATGTGGAGATCCGTGGAGATTTCAAGATGTCGAAACTGACACCGGGTCTCAAGTATCAGGCAGTGCTACTGTGCATGAAGACTAACGGTAACGAAGGATGGGATTCCTGCCCTTTGAACGTAGAGCTTAACCTTCCCGATGGAACCACACAAAAACGCAAAGTAGACCTGACCAAATTCCCAACGGATGAGTTTGTGATGATGGTGCTCGGTTACTTTGAGGCCGTTGAGAGCGGCGACATCACTTTCTCTGTCGTTGACACTTCAAACTGCGTGAAGAAGGGATTCGTTGTTAAGGATGCTGCCCTCCGTCCACTCCCCCGTTGATCTCCTATAGATATTGTGAATGAACATTTGAAGAGTTAATAATGAACGATGATTGATCATGATGATGAAGATCGTGCATTATAGGACACGCATGCAAAACCACTAGCTCAATTATCTTCTTGTAGTGATTAAGGTCATCCAATAAAAAGAAATTTAATCTTAGTTTTCTACGTCTTTATGTCCGCTTATTTTTCTTAAAAACCTGGCTTAATTTCCCAAACATGTACACTACTTGTTGTGTTGGAAATTCATGTGTGAACTAGAGGTGAGCAAATGGTTGGTTTTTACAAATTTTGAGAAAGCTGAACCGAACTATTGGATATGAGATGCAAGCATAGAGGAGGGTGAATAAGATTGCCTACTATTTTTTGAGATATCACAAAATATGTAGTTGAATAAAAATAAGAATAAGCAAAATAGTAAATAATGCAAAATATAGAAAATATCATAGCAAGAACACATGAGAATCTTATAGTGGTTTGGATAAATTAATTTTACATCCACTCTTTCTTCTCACAAAGGGGCTTTCTAACTTTGTAAAAGTTCTCTGAATCGCGCACCTGATTCAATAGGCTTACAAGACAGAAACCCTTGTTTCACCCAAACTAGTTGTCTTCTAACCTAAACTCTTCAATCTAGCTAGTGATCATACCTCAATAACCCTGAGTGTGCCGTAAACTCTCAATTCACACCAGCTCTAATACGCCATAAAATAAGTTTGGTACAAAGAAATAAATAACAATTACAGTAACTAGTGTTGGATTTTTTGGTCAAAATCGCTTTCCAAAATGAGTTTTTAAACTATATATATATTAACTACAAGTGTACTTTTCATAAAAACTTAGTAACCTGGTGGAAAGTTAAAGTTTTGGTGTTTCAAAAAGTTCTCTGTTCAAGGCTTACCAACGACAAGCCGAGAAATATTTTATTTTTGATTAATCACTCATAAGTTCTAGTGGTTGTGGATCATAGGCCATGGGCCGTGGGCTTGTAGGCCGTTGTCCAATGGGCCGGGGATCGGGGCTAATCAGGCTGAGGCGCTAAGTGACGCTTTGTTAGTCGCATTTTGTACTTCGCACAGATGCATCGGGGCGAGGTGACACCACGTTGGCTACTATGAAGGTTGCCTCAAGCAGCCTGCGGATGAGCTACACATTCGCACAAGGGTGTGACCCTAGCGTTCTCGCAATCAGACAAGGTTCGTCAATTGATTGACGAGGTTCGTCAATTGATTGACGAGGTTCGTTAATTGGTTCTACCATTTCGACGATGTTCGACTTATTGACGAGGTTCGTCTGATTCACCAGATCAGACGAGGTTCACCTGTTTGATGAGCTTTGCTCATTTGACGAGATTCGCCTGTTTGATGAGGTACGCTCGTTCGACGAGGTTCACCTATTTGACGAGGTTTGCTCGTTCGACGAGGTTCGCCTGTTCGATGAGGTTCACCTGTTCGACAAGGTTCACCTGTTCGACAAGGTTCGCTTGTTCAACGAGGTTCGCTCATTCGACGAGGTTCGCCTGTTTGACAAGGTTCGCCCGTTCGACGAGGTTCGCCCGTTTGACGAGGTTCATCTGATTTGCTGAGACGTGACCCTCGTGTTTCGTAGTAACACGTCCATTGATTACCTTGTATCCAGGAGTTACTGCATGCAGCAGTTACAACAGCATTTACATCAATTTAATGGATTGTTGTTACAATCATAATTACCATTATGATTTGTAACATCCACATTAATCTAGGGTGACTCTTGAGCTGGCCTTAGAGGCCTACAAATAGCGCCCCTTAGGCTGCTCTTGGTGAGTACTGGAAAAATGAACATCAGATCGAGGAGATCTTGACGTTATTGCTGCTGTTGTGCTGCTGTTGCATAAACTGTGCCCGAAAGAACTTGTCCTGAAATCGAAAGGTTTTGAACCGAAAGGTTCTGAGATCGAGGAGATCTTTGTCTTGACCAAAAAGTCTTATAGATCAATGAGATCTTGACAGCACTGGGTTGGTGCACACCAGAGTACTGTACTGTTGTACCTGGAAGCAGTTTGGCATTGGGATCCTTGCATCGGAGTAGGCCAAATATTATTTTAAGCACAACGTTTTACAAACGCACAACAGTTAACTTAAAAAAGTTTAAAATTACAACACATCATCTTTCACTGTTTTATTCCAGATTTTACCACAATTTTTAACAATCTTAAAGCAACGTTTTTGATGTACAATAGATCCTACGAGGAATCTTGGAGTGGAGTGTCTCAAGTTAGGGGATTTTGACGTATCCAACTTTAACGCATGGCGTCGGAAAGTGATTTTCGGGATACAACTCCTAAAAATCTACTATGTGATTTCTGAGGAGAAACCTGACTTTGAAGAAGACTTTGAATCTGAAGCCTCTTGGGCTAAATATGATCATTTCTGTAGGAGTTGTCTGCTTAACTGTCTGGTTGATCATCTGGCAGATGCTTACACCAACAAGCCCTCTACAATTAAAATCTAGAATGCTCTGGAGGAGCAATACAAGGATGAGGAGAAGCTTTCCAAGTCTCACCTCATTGACAAGTTTCTAGACTTCAAATTTGAAGATGACACTGAGGTTTTGCCTCAAGTCAAAGAGCTCAAAAAGCTTGTTATGAAGATGAAGGATGAAAAGATTAATCTTTGTCAAACCTTCATTTCTAGAGCAATTGTCAACGATCTTCCTCCATCTTGGATGTCATTCTCCACGACCATTCGAAGAAGGAAAAGACAAGTGAGTCTGTTTGATTTGAAGAGGTTCATTCGGATCGAGGACGAGATTCATACTCGCACGAAGGATGAGCTCCTTGCTAAGCAGAAGGCGTATGCTAACATGGTGGTTGCTAACTCTGAGAAGGGTACTAGTTTTTCTTTCAAGAAGAAGAAGAAGTCATTTAACAAAAAGAAGAACCAACCGAAGAATCTAAATGTTCAAAAGAAAGATTTTAAGAAGAGCAGCAAGTGATTCAACTCTGAGAAGTAAGGACATTTTGCCAAGGACTGCAAACCACCAAAGAAGGGAACATCACACAAAGTTAATCAAGTTGATAATTGTATAGCTATGCTCTTCTAAGTGACAACTCCCAACAACGTCTCTGGTTGGTGGTTAGATACAGGTGCTACATGTCATGTCTGCTCCAACAGAGATTTATTCTCTTCCTATGTTGCTGCCAAAGAGAACGTATCAATGGCCGATCGTTCTGTAGTTCCTGTTCTTGGAACTAGGACTATGATGCTGACTCTCTCTTCAGGGAAGACTCTCATATTGAAAGATGTGAAATATATTCCCTTAATTACCAAATACTTAGTTTCTGGAAGCCTGCTGTGTAATGTAGGTATAAGGTTGGATTTCTAAGGAGGAAAGTCTGTGTTATCATTTAAGAAAATGTATTTTGACAATGCATATTATACTGATGGCATGTATAAGATTAGTACTATTGTGCCCAACTTAGTTGTAAATGAAGTACCCTCTTCTGCTTACTCCTCTGTATTATGGCACAACAGGCTAGGCTATGTAAATTATAGAAAGCTGTCTACCATGGAGAAGTTAGAATTACTTCTGAAATATGAGGGTAACAAACCTGAGAAGTATGAAGTCTGCGCGTAAGCGAAGTTGATAAGGAAGCCCTTTCCAAGTGTCACAAGGAGCACCAACTTATTGGACCTGATTCACTCAAATACTTGTGATTTCAAGAGCTTTGTCACTCGAGGCGGCATGAAGTACTTCATCACCTTCATTGATGATCATTCTCGCTTCTGCCATGTCTACCTACTGAAATCTAAAGATGAAGCATTCAACAAGTTTATTAAGTTTCAGACTCGTGTGGAGAAGTAACTTGGACTTCAGGTGAAAAGACTCAGGAGCGACAGAGGAGGAGAGTGCCGATCTAAGGAGTCAAAAGCATACTTCAAGGAGCATGGAATCATTGCTAAAACTATGGCTCCGTATTCTTCGTAATCTAATAGGATTGTAGAAAGGAAGAATCAAGCATTGACCGAGATGGCGAATTCGATGTTAATCACATCTGGTCTACCTACCTACTATTAGGGAGAGGCTTTGCTAATGGCAAACTGGATTCTAAACAGAGTACCCTATTCCAAAACTGATAGTACTCCTCATCAGTTATGGTTGAGATATCCAGATCCTTTAGATAATCTCAAAGTGTGGGGGTGTCTCGCATATGTTTGAGTTCCAGATATCAGATGGCCTAAGCTTGGACCAAAGGCAAACAGATGTGTATTTCTTGCCTTTGCTGAAGATAGCAATGCTTGCAGGTTTCTGGATCTTAGAACCAACTCCGTCATTGAAGATCGGGATGTGTAATTCTTTGAGGATAAGTTTATCAAGGATAAATGCTTATTGCTCAAAGATATAGCAGAAAATTCTAGTACGTTAGATGCACCAGAGGAGCCAGTTTCATAAGAGACTAAAAATGTCAATGATGAAGGAGTTACCGATCACCTTCCAAGCGTGTCAGGAGACAGAAAGATTTTGGAGATGACTTCATCACCTATAATATGGAAGAAGACCTACATGCTTTCCAAGAAACAATGCAGTCATAAGATGCTCTCCTGTGGAAAGAAGTTATAGATGATGAGATGGATTTATTGATCCAAAATCACACGTGGGAGCTGATGGATGTACCTAAAGGTGCTAGGCCTATCAGTTGTAAGTGGATCTTTAAGAAGAAGCTTTGTCCTGATGGTACTATTGAGAAGTACAAAGCAAGACTGGTGACGAAAGGATTCTCTCAGAGAGAAGGAATATATTTCTTTGATATCTGTGCACCACTTTACAGGATCACTACTATCAGAGTGCTTATCGCATGGGCGGCGATAAAAAGGTTCGTCATACATCAGATAGATATGAAGACCTGCCTTTCTCAATAGAGACCTCACATAAGAGATCTACATGGAGAAACCAGAAGGACTTGATGCTCCAGCTGGTAAAGAGTTTAAACTTATTAAGTATATATATGGACTTAAGCAGGCACCGAAACTCTAGCATGAGAAGTTCGATGGGGCTGTTCGTAACAATGAGTATCAAGTCAATGAGTCTGATAAGTGCCTATACATTAAGCTCGTTGAAGGAAAGATGGTTGTTATCTGCCTCTATGTGGATGATATGCTCATCATCGGGAGTGATTTAGAGATAGTAACATCTACCAAGAAATTTCTATTAGCACAATTCAGCATGAAGGACCT